TCCTACTTCTCCACATCCTCTCCAGCATCTGCTGTCTCCAGATTTTTTAATGTTTGCCATTCTTACCGGCGTGAGATGGTATCTCAATGTAGTTTTGATTTGCATTTCTCTTATGACCAGTGATGATGAGCATTTTTTCATATGTTTGTTGGCTAGTAAATATTTTCAGGCTTTTTATCTGAAAATATGACAAGGAATTTCCTTTCAACAATCTCTATACAATACTATTATGTCTGTTTTTATATTTATATTCTTTATACAGTGGTGGAACAAATTTGATTATGAGCAAATATTTATTCAGCTTTAATACTGCTTTTCAGAAAAGTTTCTAAATTATGGTGATCTGTAGAGAGTGCCAGAGATGGATCTCTCTAGCATAGCAGAGCTAAACTTACATTGGTTCAAATCCAAATTATCTTCTTTTTCGGCCTATGGTAAGGAGAAAAATAGAAGAAAATATGTTTACAAAAATATGTAAAGTGCATGCCTTTATTAAGCACTCAATGCACAACAGTTAATATAAACATGAGGTGCTGGGGAAGTCCCTTTGTCCCCAAGAATTTTTCCTTGCATCTAGATTCCATGTCTTATACCCTGATAATCAAATATTCCTAGAGACAGCTAGGGATGACAGTGTCAGAGCTGGAGGGGCTTGCTGAAATGATTTAATGCCCTGAGCTTCATTTGTAACCTATGAACCAATTTAGGGCTAATAGCTAAAGCAATCAAATACATTCATGGGGTTCAAATATTCTGCTTGGCAGTGCTGTGTTAAGGGTCAGTGATGTAACACAGGGTAAGTCCCAATCTGGCATAAACTAGTCACTCAACAAATCAGTTATTTTTATTAATATAGTAAAATTAATAATGCAAACTAAAACCCAGATTAATTTTAGTTGACTTTGGTGCTCTTTTCTTGCCTCTTAAAATCCACAGTCCTTATAAAAATATAGTTATAACATCTAGGAAGAATAGTGAGAACTACTGATAATCTTTGAATACATTAAAAAAGAAAAACCAAAGCTAATTCTTTCAGCCAGCCAAAAAGAAGATAGCATAACCATCTTCTGGCATACAATGCTATAAAGTCAGACCTTCGTCTACATTCAGGTTGGGCCCACTATGTGAGTAGGTCTTGCTATTTACCCTCTCTAACTCTTTGTTTCTTCTCCTGTAAAATGGGGGAAATAAAATACTTGTCTTATTGAGTTATGATGAAGAATTTATTACACATAAAAACATTCAAAGCTTTTGATAAATAGCAAGCTTCCAGTAAGGTTGTTGGTTATTATTATTGACATGGTATTATTTATAGATAAGGCTACCATAATTTGTCATCTCTACTGGGACACATATCAGAGTGAAAGGTAGTGCTAATGATAATGACCCAAAAACAAAAGGCATAAACCAGGACATATGGTCACTTTATCTACAGTGTAGTTTGTAACTGACAGTGAATTCCAAAGAGAGTGTTATATTGTACAGGAGAATTTACGTGGGACTCTGGAAAGAGTTTGGAAACATCAGATTCAAGATGGTCATAAAGATAAGATTTCTGTTTCCTTCCAAATTCCTCTGAGACAAAATAGAAGGAGGCATGATGTTTCTATAGTAACCATAACTGATCTCAGCTCTTCTGGAGTGTCTTTCTGAATATCAAGTCCTAGGAAATGTATTTTCATTAAATAAATGACTTAGGTTCTGAAATATCTTACACAATTCCCTATCTCTTTAAACAAACATGTAACTGTAACTTATTCTCCCTAAATAATTACTTTGAAATACAAGAATATATAAGGAAGAAAACAGAAACTTATCTTCCGAATCATCTATATCTCTCATTATCCAGCCATACATTTATTTCTCTTTTTGTTTCAGAACAAATTAGAATTAAAGGAAGGAACAAATAATTGTAGTCCTATTCTATTGGGTTCTGTTCTACTCTACACTGTTCCATTCCATTTCATTCTACAAAGATGTATTGGAAGTCCCTATATCTTAGCCCTCTTCAGTGAAATTGAACTTTTCCTATAATAAAAAAGGTGATTTATTTGGCAAGATACCTACAGTAATACTTTCGACAGAGGCTCGATAAAGAGCCATCATGTATGGCGGATGACATTTCTTCTCCACAGAAACTTCTTGTTCCCCACCTTCCTCATTCTGAAAAACAGTGTGAACATTCATCACATTTTCTCAACAAAATATATTTCCTTATTAGCGGATTCTTGCCTTCTTTTGTTTTTACTTTGTAATACAGGAATTTATAACCTCACATTCTGGCCATATAAGACTAGAAATTATGTGCACATGAAAATCAACACATTACCACTATGCTGCTACATGTAGATTAAAACTAAAAGAGTTTCTCACTTTTTTGACATTAATTTAATGTCAAACTTAGCTTCCATCTGATGCAAAGAGCTACTTTATCCATTTAAACATACTTGTTTGGGCCCATAATGAAGTGTTCTGTACCTGTCTTATAAGTAGGGTTCATAAATGAAATCACAAATGGATGAAGGGACTCACCTCCGTTGTTAAAAACAGTAAACCTCCAAACAGCCAGTCTTGGGTGTTTTCCAGCTTTTTGTTTTTGTGTCATACATCTTCACCTACAGCCCCAGATGAGCAGAACAACTTTAAAGCATTGTGCAATCACACATACAGGCATCTATAAGGCATTCTCATATAGGATATCGGTCAGTCAGTCTCATGGCAAATTTAATAACAATAGCAGCTGTCTGGCATACTCAAAATAAATTATCATCTAACCTTTTCTATTTAAGTGATTTTTATATTATTTGTTTTAGAAAAACATTCTCACTTTAAGTAGCATTCTAGCTAGGATCAGTCTGTCCTGAGGAGGTTTTTAAAATAAGATTGAGTGAAGATATTGACAAACATTAGTCATTGCCATTAGCATAAGGCATGAAGCACGTAACAATATTTAAAAGTAGCTAGGACATGGCAGTAAACATATGACTTCCTATGACTTGAGCAAACTTCTGACTGCAGCTCACTGCTATTTTGTAAAGTGAAACTGGTCAAGTCTGGTAGCAGTATCCCTAATGGCGTGTGTATCATAAGACGTAATTGTTTTCCACCACAGGGTATGGAGCTTAATGTCCTCTATCCACTGAAAACAAACAGTTATACTGCTTAATGACTGTTCAATTAATGTTTATGTGCTACTTTTACACCCTGAATTATTTGATGAATAAACTTTAAGAAGTCACTTGAGAACTAAGTTTAATGAAACCTCAACTATTACTAAAAATTCCTGGGACTCTTAAAATATCTCATACTGTCAGCTAGGGAGTAAAGCGCATACATTGACATTCAAAAATCTACACTCGTGTAAAAATGAAATAAAAATCAAAAGTTTGGAAAGAATTGATCTATGTGGCTTGACTCTTGCTGCCTTGAAATTGAAGATCAAAACAGGGTTAAAATAGAAATAATCAGGTCAAACCAGTCAAAGGTGAAACTTGGTTTATGATACCAGCAAGACTTAACCTTCGTATATCAACTGCTTTCTGAACTTGTAACACCACACTTACTGATCTTTCTACTTTTCTTACATAAAAGTTAGCATTTTTATAGTACAAGCAGATTTGATGTTTTATTTTAACATCCTTCATTGAGTAGAAGTTATAAAATTGCTGAAAATATTGTGTCAGTAGAAGGTTGACATTTTTGGATTTATGAGAAAAAAATGGTTTCTGAATTTTGTAGCAGTTTGGATATAGCAGTATTATATTCATCCATTGTTATTCATTCTAATATATCCAGTACTGGGAAGATTAGTTAATAATGCCCCTTACTGTCCTGACTTTAGTGGGGATTCATTCAACACACAAAAAAACAACAAGAACTGAGGAAAAGAGAATGCCCATTTCCTTTAGGAAAATAAGCATCTTTCACACTATGCATGATATTTGCAAATCTCGATGTATACATATTTTAACAGAACCGTAGCTACCCTCTTCTGACACTGTGGCTTTACATGTGAACAGTTGGTTCAAAAACATGGACAAATTAGATGCAAGTTTAGGAGATGCCAAACGTTCTTGAAAATTTCCTGCAAAGAAATGACAAATGTATTATATACCTGGGGGGTAGAAGTTGTAAACTGATTCCTTTTTTTGTTTGTTTGTTTTGAGATGGAGTCTCACTCTGTTGCCCAGGTTGGAGTGCAGGGTCGTGATCTTGGCTCACTGTAACTGCTGCCTCTTGGGTTCAAGTGATTCTCCTGCTTCAGCCTCTTGAGTAGCT